TATAATTATTAGCTTATCCATAGGTAAAATACGTCTGATCCTTCTAAGAGCCAAAACCCCTACTAATACTTTGATCTTAGTAAAATAAATAAAACTATTTTTAAATCCATGAGACCCACTACTAAACTACCAGAATTGCTTGTGGTTGGTTGCGTAAATGAATCAATAAGTGAATGTCTGGGTCAACGTCATTCTCCCTCCCGCCAAATATGGTGTGATACGGATGTTCAAAGGTTTTCCAGCCGGCGCCGCCCATGCCCTCTCCTCAAAGTTGAGTTGAAAAGGCCACCGTAAAGTTTATAACAAAGCACGCTGCCCCAAATATTCCAGGGGCGGTTGAGGATCGATCGAGTTCCGAAACAAGCACTAACAGATCGTCGTTGTCAAGCCTGGGGAAAAAACACTTTGAAGGTATTTTTGAGTATTCCAAAGTCTTCCTTTGAATTCTGCATTGGCAAAGATGACTAAAATACGCCTTGCTAGCTGGAGTAACTACACGCGGTTGGCTTTATACAACTCCCATGGGATGTTTTCGTTAAAGTATCAGTTGAAAGTGAAAGAGGAAGCAATCTATACTCGTGTCAGTCTCGGACATATGCATCTCAGAGTCTCTAAGTTCCCTTGCATGGAATTGGTTCCACAATCAAAGCTACCAGATACAATTTATCGTTAGAACCATCGCTATTTACAATTAGTTTTTTTGATCAAATGAAAGACTAAACAATGCTTGTCCGGAGAAGAAAAAAAAAAAACTCAACTACCATCTAGATTAATTACCGGTCCCTCGTGTTTTGGCATGCATTCATGGTCTCTTTTCGTGGAAAAAACATTAATTAAAATACTATTCTTATAACTTCGATACTTTCAAACGAAATTCAATGTTTAAGGTGTTGGAATAATAATGTGTGCCGTCTACAATGTGGTTAAATTAACACTAACTAATAGCCGCTTTATGAATAACACAGCAAGCGAAGTTAAGAAGTCAACAAGTTTTTCTTATAGTCATTAATACGTTACTAAATTCCTTAAAATACACCATACATGGGTGGATAGTGGAAATATTCTGGTGTGCGAAGTTTTAAGAATACTCTTTTATTTATGAATTGAATGTTATTATTTCAAAAACGTTTAAAACAATCGAAAATCGTGGGACTGAAAAGCTTCTATAATAATAATAAAATAATAAAAATAAAGTCCTTTTTTACGAGGGTAGCACTTAATAGCTATAGCTTTAATTATGACTCTTTTGTTGAAGTTCTTACTGAGTTTCGAAGCCAATTTCAGTTTCTCTGGTGTGCGAGGTTTTGAGAATACTCTTTTACTTTTGAATTGATTGCCTGTATTAATTCAAAAACGTTTTTAAAAAAATCTAAAATCGTGGGACTGAAAATCTTCTATAGCTTTAATTATGACTCTTTCGTTGAAGTTCTTACTGAGTTTCAAAGCACATTATCCTGGAAGCTTCTACTTGGACAATCTCGTACCCAGAGCCCTGGTTTCTTACTGCGCATGCTCGACGAAATTTCGTCGAGCATGCGCAATAAGAAATAAAGGCTCCGGGTACGGGTACCAGATTGATCCTTAGAGAGAAACATTACCTTGCGCATGCGTTGCACGACAGCAAGTTTAACTTGCAAAAGAAAGAAACTTTTGTTGGAATCAAACTAAAGCTTTTTTTTCTTTTCCTCCTTGCATCATCTTCTTGTTTTCCTTTTTCTTTTCGTTTTCGAACTTCTTCTTCTTTCTGTTCTTCTTTTTTTCTTTTTCTTTTTCTCCTTCTCCATCAGTTACAGTCGCGTCGTTCATCAGTCAAGAGAGTCGACAATGAGTGAACCACAGACGACAACAACGGAAGAGCCAAAGTCACAGGCGCCACCTGATTATCAGCAGTCTTCTCCAGAACAATACCCCATTCAGGCTCCGCCCATGATGCAGCAAGGTCAGCCAATGATGCAGCAAGGTCAGCCAATAATGACGCAGCCAGGTCAGCCAATGATGCAGCAAGGTCAACCAATGATGCAGCAAGGTCAGCCAATAACGATGCAGCCAGGTCAGCCAATGATGCAGCAAGGTCAGCCAATGATGCAGCAAGGTCAGCCAATGATGCAGCAAGGCCAACCAATGATGCAGCAAGGTCAACCAATGATGCAGCAAGGTCAAATGGCACCAATGCATTCCCAAACTACCAGTAGTACAAACGTGGTATTGATCAACCAGCAGCCTGTTACTGCCCGTGCTGCCCCACGAGAGTGGAGTACAGGATTGTGTGGCTGCTGTGACGACTGTGAAACTTGTAAGTGTACAAACTTTCTTTCTGTACTGGGAAACAAGGCACATAATACAGGACGAGAACACACATGGTACAGCATGTAGGGCACAGGATGGAGGATATAGGGCACAGCACAGGGTACAGGATGGAGGATATAGGGAAGAGGGTACAGGATGGAGGATATAGGGCACAGGGTACAGGATGGGGGATATAGGGAAGAGGGTACAGGATGGAGGATATAGGGCACAGGATGAAGGATATAGGGCACAGGGTACAGGATGGAGGATACAGGGATAATGGGCACAGGATCATAGTTGGGTACAAGGGACAGAGTAACAGTGGGTACAAGGGACAGGGTCACAGTGGGTACAAGGTACAGGGTCACAGTGGGTACAAGGGACAGGGTCACAGTGGGTACAAGGTACAGGGTCACAGTGGGTACAAGGTACAGGGTCACAGTGGGTACAAGGGACAGGGTCACAGTTGGGTACAACGGACAGAGTAACAGTGGGTACAAGGGACAGGGTCACAGTGGGTACAAGGGACAGGGACACAGTGGGTACAGGGGACAGGGACACAGTGGGTACAAGAGACAGGGACACAGTTGGGTACAAGGGACAGGGACACAGTGGGTACAAGGGACAGGGTCACAGTGGGTACAAGAGACAGGGTCACAGTGGGTACAGGGACAGGGTGACAGTGGGTACAAGAGGCAGGGTCACAGTGGGTACAGGGGACAGGGTCTCAGTGGGTGCAAGGGAAAGGGTTACAGTGGGTACAGAAACACGGTCACAGTTGGGTACAAGGGACAGGGAAGGGGTGTACAAGTCATAATGTATAGGACACAGGGTACAGGGCAAAGAGGACATGGGTTAAGTAGGGTTAAGGGGAGGGCGTTACAGGGCTCATGGTTAGCTCTGACAGTTGACCTGTTTTGAAATCAATTATTTATCACGAGTTTTTTCTTCGTTTAAGGTTGGTATGCGATTTTCTGTGGAAAATATTTGTTGTGTGACCTTTCTCAACGTCTAGGAGAGGGCAGATGCTTCGTCTGTTGTTGCCCCTTTCCTCTTCTTAGCCTCAGGATAAAATTCAGAACTGAACAAAACATCAAGGTATGAATGTAAAAATGATCTATGTAAAACCTCTATTGCGGATTCTCAAAATCCTTGTTCAGCGTTACCTAACTGCTCAAAGAGGTTTATTAATTCGTATATGATTTTTATATACATTCATTCGTTAGGGATCACTGTGCAATGACTACTTGACGGTTGAATTCTGCGCTCCTTGCGCCTTGTGTCAGCTGGCGAGGGAGATTGACCACGTTCAACGCATACAAAGAGTCAATTGAGGTTGTAAGTCACATGGTAACTAAACCTTGTTCGCTAATTTTCAGCAATTTCGTTTACAGTCTAGCTTGATAGTAGAGTAGCAATACGTAATGGCGTTTTATCGTTTTTCTGCCAGTTATATAATCAGCATTTTATTCTATCTTATTTTGAAACCGTTAAAAGAAACTA